AGGTCCAGTTCCTTAAGGACCAAGTTACATCTTGGCCTGCATTTAAAAAGAGCTGAACCCTCAGCACTGCTAAAAAGATGGATAAAGTACCTTTCATTTTTTTTAGAGCAGACTTCCAGTGAAATCATTTTTACTTCCATACGGTTTAATATTTCTTTGGCTAGTACAACGTAGGGTTTGCAGTTTGTTGAGCTGTGCTCAGCTATGTAGCAACAGGTTGCCAGATTAAATACTGGAGTTTTCTCCCGTGGTCTGTATCTGGGACAGTATTTCCACATTCTTGTCGGAGCGGAGCAGTCCCGTTTGTCTGCAGCCAGGAGCCGAGAGGTGATGATTTATAAAGCCAAAATTCCACTTGCAAAGTGTTTCGGGAAGGCACGGTGTGCTCCATCCCAGGGTCAGGAAGGAGACAGCCGAGAGAAGCACGCTTGCCTGGGGGACTCTGGGTTTCCAAGCACGGTGATTGACCCAAAAGGGGGAAAAGGGGTTTTGAAGTCTAAAAATAACAAAGAGCCAATGTTTTTGTTTGCAATCCCACCCTCTTCCTGTGGTTTAGCGTATTCTCCAGTTTTTACTTGGGTTTGCTGCTGAGTCTTTGCTAATTAGGGGAGAGGAGCAAGGGAAGTGGGACCTGTGCCGCCAGCCCTGTGCCGCGTGTCCCCGTTGGGGAGCTTCACCACCATGGCACTGGTAGCCATGGGTCTGGTGGTGGGGTGAAACCTGTCCCACGGCATGGTGAGCTGGGCTTGCCCAAAGCAGGGGAGGCCACGGTGAACACAAAGGGCCCCATCGGGACAGGTCGATGGTCTATTGCTATTTAACATCCACAAGTAGCTGGATTAGGGATGATGGAGGGGACAACCCTTTTTTGGTATCATTTATGGATCTGTGGTCCATGAATTTGTCTTGCCCTGAAACGAGTTGACTGAAAATGGTGCTGTTAGACATTGTCACCTTTAAACGGATCAGGCCAGAGTGACACAGCCCATCAGGTCAGTGAGTGGGGAGTGCAGGTTCCTCAAAGACCTTGCCAACGGTTGAGTTGGAGGCTAAGGTAAGGTAAGCGTTAGGAGTTTGGGTATTGACAAATGACACAAGTGATTACTTCATGTGCGGGTACCACTGTGCTCTTCTTCGGTACCAAAGTGGCCCTGTCTACCAGCCTGTTCCTGCACAGGGGGTTCAGCACGAGCAGTGCTGGTGGCACTTGTCTGTCTGGGCATGTCGGGGTGACCATGCAGTGTGGCTGCTCTGCTCACAGCCCATTGCAGTGAGGCAGATGGGCAGAAGTGGTCTGGTCCGGCTGAAGTAGTTTGGCCAGAGATGGAGCAGTGAAGGTGTAGGAGGGGGGAATTCACAGATTTGGGTCTTTAATTTCCCAGAAGCGGGGCTGTAGGATCATGTATCAAGCAGCTGAAGCTGCCTGCAAGGCACTCGGACGGGATGGAGAAGGACAGGAGAGGTCTGGGTTAGATGGAGATTCCCCAGTGCTGCCGGGGCAGGGCAGAGCTGGAGCAGGCAGCGCAGGCAGCAGGTGTGAAATGCTTCCTGCTGCTGGCTTAGCATGTAAATTCCTGTTGAGAGGAGGAGGAGGAGGATCACACCTTGCATTGGCCACGGGATCTGATACAACGGATAGCTGAGATGCTGAACAAGAGCCTGGCAACGCTTCAAAGCATCGGCCTCCCAGGCGGGTGTGCTTTTGGCAGCTGCTCCCTGGTGAAACAGCTGAGCGGCCTCAAGCAGCATCACAGGCCCCACGCAAGGGGAGGCAGATTTTATCCCTAAGCAGGTCATAAGCCAAACATTACACAGAATAAGTGATAAGGGCACGAGGCTGTCGGAATCAGCCATCCTCCCAAAAGGACAAGAGAGTTGCAGCTACTTCTGCTCCTGCGCTGCTCCTAGGAGACCATCGTGAGACCCACGACTCCTTTCCTTGCTACAGCAAAATGCTTGCTGGAAAGTCCCTGCATTATTTGACTCAGCCTTAAAATTGCATGATAAAGCTGTGACTCACAACTCCTGGGTAAAGACTGGGGTTCAGATACCCATGGAGGGGGTTGGGGGTTAACTGAGCTCAGGATGGTATTTTTGCAGCGATGAAACGGTATTGCAAGTTGTTTCCAGTATAACAAGGTATTTATACAAACGGTGTCGGTCAGGGGAATAAACCCCCAAATACTTGGTGCACAGAGCTAGCGCCTTCTCTAGCGAGGCAGCTTCTCTGCTTTGTCTTTAGCTTGCAGCTGTTGCATCAGCTGGTGATTTTGAGGTCACAGATGGAGGTCATGGTGGGTTTTAGGAGAAACTAATGGCAGGACAGATTGAAAATGAAGGATCAGGGGGAACCGCCCCCCGACTCTGTGCAAAAATGCTTTGATTGATGCGCCATCTATTCAAAGCAGTTGCCATTTAAGATGTAAAAGATCAGGGAGTGATGAGCAGAGACTGCAACAACCCCTTGGAGACAAGGTGTGTCTACAGTTGGGGGACTGAGAAGGGCAAAGGGGTTTGCCTACCCTGGGCTGCCCGATGAGCCGCAGCGAGCCCCAGCTCCCTCCCGGTCTGGGAAGCTTCCGAGGGCCACTGGCTCTCTTTTCTCCCCAAATTCTCGCTCTCTTCTGTGGGAGCAGAGGGTGGTGGGGAGGAGCAGTCCCTGAACACAGGGGCTGCATGGCCGGGCAGTGGGGCAGGACTGGGAGAAGAGCCCAGTGCTGTGCCCCAAAGCCCTGCTGGGTGCTGTTATGTCTGGAGATCAAAGGCAGCTGGGAAAGCTCATGCTTCTCTTGCTCCAAACCAGACAAGTGGGATGCCAACCTTGAGGACTTGCCTTGGGGGTCAGGCAGGCAGTGGCCAGCCAGGATGGGACCCTGCTAGGAAAGCGAGATTAATAAATGGGAGATGAACTCACTAGAACAGGCAAAGGACATGAGGCTGGAACTTAAGATGTTTTAGCTTGTCTTCTCCTCTTCCTTTTACAAGCTGGTGAGCATGGCTGAAGATGGGTGTCGAAGAACCTCAAGGCCACTCTCCCGCTCCATGGGGGCCCATGGCAAAGACTGGATCTGGGATGTGCACACCAGGGATGGGGTTTCTGGATCCCGCTGGGGTCAGGGGCACCTTCTTAGCAGCTGAAGTGCACAGCTCCATGGAGAAGCCCAGGATGGGAGCACAGAGCTTGCTGTCTCCTGGGCTGTGGTTTGAGGGCCATGGAGCATCCCTTGTCTTTATGTGAGGTAGTGTCCTCTCTTGCTTTTCTAGGGCATGTCCAGGAACTTCACGCAGGAAGGCCACCAGGCAGGAGCCAACATGAAGGAGGGTCTGCAGGATCCCCACCGCAGGGACAGGGAGAATTGCTCCAGCCTCATCACCAACAGCCTTGCTGACATTGAGAGCTCGCTGCAGCGGGACGCTG